TTCCATCCATTAGCATTATGCATCGTTTTCCATCATTACGGAAGTTTATTTCTGCCTTTTGTTGCTGTAATTGAAAATAAGTGGGCTTATTTTTTAGAGTAGAAGCCTTAAGCTGAATATTCGAACACAGACACGCTGTGGCAAAATAACTCCTGGTAATTAAAAGTAAATTGTGGCGCTTCTTATTCACTGCTCCTTGGTGTATCGCTTTTATCAAATTTTCTAAGCCTCAACGGTATCTTAAAAAAGCGTTAACGATCCTCCACAAAACATATGGAAAATGAGCCCCATACGATTTACCTAAAAAATCACTGTTATATTTCGCACCTGAACAAAAGGTATGCAGGTGTCATCATGACTATTATAGTATTTATATTTAAGAGAAAGTTGATTTTTGTATGCTAATGCTGGAATAGACCTGGCACGAATTGTTTGAAAGTTCAGAAAGCTTATTTAAGCAGTTCGCTTCCTTGTCTTTGATTATGACCTTGTTAAGGTCATGTTCATTTTGAAGGTGAAAGGGAAAGCGCACAAGTGTAAACATTGCATTTGTTGTATCTTACCCATCTTTCCTGCACTGGTGAATGAGTGAAACGACAGATGTTGAATGGATTAGTTTACTGACTACCTCAGGAGCCTTTCCAAGTACAAATCGAATTCTTGAGGCATAAGCCCTTGGAAGTGATAAATAACGAGTTTTATCTATGCTTATGAGATCCCAGACTACAAACAGATAAAAGACTGTGCCGCAATCCATCAGCTATCGGATCTTTAAGTAATTTAGGAATCGTCGTGTCTACCGGATGCGTATCCAGCTATCCAGCACGTACCACCCCAACACGCGCGATCACTGTGATGCACGCCTACGGCTGGAGTTCTTTTGTTTTACATAAAGCTGGCAAAACCGAAACGGGAAAAACCGAGAGAAGCGCAATGAATGTCGCGACGCAACGACACAAGCATCTCATCTCGCTCTATCGAGTTTTGGAGACTGATGAGTATCGTTGCCTGGTGATCCCTATTTTGCATTTTGCTGCTAGCCGTTTGTTCCCTTTTCGAATCCGTTGGATCTAAGGCTTAATAGACCTTCTTTGGAGAAAAGGGCATCTAAAGCGTCAAGTAAGCAGCGTTGCACTTTATTGGGTGTTCAGGCAATTCCCTTATTAGTTTCCCTATTGCAATCATTCTGCAGCGATAGATAACAATTTGCTGGAACAAGCACAGGTAAATCAAGCTTCGGTCATATCCAGAGAGGAGTTCCTCAAAGCTCCTTTTTTTCTGAAACCAGCGACAGTGGCAAAATATTTTAGTACGATACACAAATATTATACTCATTTCCATCACAAAAGGTTACTGAAATCAATAATATACCATAAATAATCGATAGCGTTAACAACTGTATCTATGGGAAACGTATCAATTATACTAAGTGACATATAAATCCGAACACCCAGTTTAAATGGTTTTATTTTAATTAAAGTTGGTGAATGTATTTATCTTACTGTAAGTAACAAGTGAAAAAATTTTCAGCCTTATCAGTTGGACATTCCTGTTTTTATACTGCTTTTTTTTAATTCACTAACGCTCTAAAAATGAATATTTCAGCCGCAGTAAAGAATCAACGTTGGCGGATTTTGGTTCTTGACATCCTTTACGATCGGTTACGATGCCTAGAGTACGGAGACCTGTACGATTTCGCCGAGTTTGATAGGGGCCGTATAGTGGAACTTCGGGAAGCTGGACATTCTTTTCGGGCAATTGCAGTTAGAGTGCAAAGAAGTGTAGTCACTGTGGTTAGGTGTTGTCAGGCATGGCTTCGAGAAGGCCGTACGCAAAGAGCAAGGGGCACTGGACGCCGCCGTAGAACAACAGACCGTGAAGATCGCCGCCTAAGATTATTGGCCTTAAGGGACCGTTTCTCCACTACCAGGTCCATTGCAAATGAATGAATGAAGACCTATTGGCATGCGAAGTGTTTACCGACGAATAAGAAGTTTTTGCTTGTTTTCATACCGGCCACACTGGGTCGTCCCTTTAACTCGAGAACACCGATGTAATCGCCTTGAGTGGTGCAGCCATCGGTCACTCTGGGATCAGGAATGGAACAGTATTGTCTTTAGTGACGAGTCTCGATTTTGTTTAGGCATGCACGATGGTCGGGCCAGGGTTAGAAGGCGACGTGGTGAAAGGAGGAATCCACAGTTTCTTGTTGAATGACATGTTCATCAGACTGTTGGAGTTAAGGTTTGGGGTGCTATAGCTTATGGTTCCAGGTCACCTTTAATCTTCATCAGAGGCAACATGAACGCGCAGCGTTATATCCACGAAGTTCTAGAACCCCATCTTTTACCCTATCTTGACACCCTGGCAGATCCAACTTTCCAACAAGATAATGCCCGACCACATGTTGCAAGAGTCACAATAGACTTCTTTCAACATAATGATATCACATTGTTACCATGGCCACCAAGATCTCCCAACTTATCCCCAATTGAGCACGTGTGGGATATGATGGGTAGGAGATTGTTCAATTTGCAACGTCCTCCTCAGACTCTAGAAGAACTTCGAGAGGAGTTGGTGGTTGCCTGGAATGAGATACCACAGGAGGACATTGACCACCTGATCAGAAGCATGCCTAGGCGCGTTGGAGAATGCGTAGCACATCAGGGTGCATCCACACATTATTAAAGGTCAAAGGGCTTTAAAGCAGTGCAATCATTTTGAAATTTGTATCATTTACTTATTATGCTTCATTAAGTACTTATACAAAATTTTATTAAAATAAAACCATTTAAACTGGCTGTTCGGATTTATATGTCACTTAGTATATTTAGACAAACATTAACTGTTTAGTAAAGATAGTACACAAATAGAAAACAAATGAGTATAGATATCAAAGATAATTAGCTGGAATGCATGGCAGTGATCAAAAATGTAGCTCGGACCGAGTTTCCGCGCTTTTTTTTTCGTCACGGGATCAATTTTCTAAAACACTCAAAGCCGTCCTTGACGATAACATTACTCTTGTGCCGAAATATAATCAAAATCCGAGCTGTAATTTCCTGGTTATAGAGGGGTCAACGATTATCAGGCAAATAGACTGACAATCAGTCAGTCAGGCCAACACAAATGAATGAAATGATTTTTCGTGATGTACAGGTCATGAAACTCAGACTACGGTATTGTGGAGGCCAGGTTTTGAGCAGAACCAGACCGCAAAAGAGATGCTGACTGGGAACGGCTCAGGGACTTTTTCTCTACCTTTAAAATATGAAAGTTTTGCTGACTTGGTTGCGTCGGCTCCCTCTTCGTTAATAGCCGAAATTATCCACGTAGGGATGGAGGAATACGTCACTCATACAGTAAAAGTGCCTAAGCCAAAGTCCAACGGCTGCTTTAACACTGCTCGTCGGCCGCAGCTCGAGGCATCTTCTTAGAGAACACCACTGTAGAGAATATAGGCGACATCATGTACTGGAACAGATATAACGAAGCGGTTCGCAATGACAAAGACCAGCACTATGCAAGAATTAGGTACAAGGCTAATGGTGCAGCGCAATAGCAGTCGGTATTTCTGGACGCCGGAAAAGCAGATCTAAGTGAGCTTCTACTGCTTACGTGCCAATGTCGAGCAATTGAAACCGACTCCATTGCTAAGTGCTTGCTAAGAAATTTGCTGTCAACTACACCTTCGACGTGCCCCGAATGTCTGACTGCCATCGATTCCAAACTTCTCCTACACTACAGAAAGTAAACTTCAGGCATAAAACTGCAAGATTGCTCTTATCACGCGATACCAACTATGCTACTGGTCCGAGTTTAGTTCCTGCCGTTGTGCTGGACCGATGTGCAGAGGAACTGCCCCAGTTCTTCCGCGTCTCTTCCAGATATCGCGAGAATTCAGCACTCATTGAGAAAACTGCAAATATTCCCATTTGCAGCTCATCTCAACAACTACAGGCATATATTTCTGCTTTCTGTTATAAGTGAAGATGCGCATAAATCGGGAACTTCCGGATTACCATGAACGCGCCACGGCTTGATTAGCGGCTTCCGGCACCAGCCTTCTACAGAGGATCTCCTAGCTTACGTCACGCAACTGTGCTATAGAGATGGCAAAATCCTGGTAATTTATAAATCGGTAAGAATGATCGGTAATTTTCGGTAACATTCGGCAGTATTGGTAATATTATAATAAAAAAGAGGAATAAGTATTTTCTTATAAAAAATTGTATTCTTTGGGTATGTCCGACCCGCCGACCATAGTCTGAATTTCTCATAATAAGCCTTCCTAAAATATATAAATTATGAATATTTTCCATTACTGCTTTCACTAGCAGGCCTCTCCAACTCGAGCACTTGGTGCTGGTGCGCTCCGGTGCTGAACCCAGCGGCACCGGTGCCGTTCCCCCTCCACCTCGACCGCACAGCCGTTGCGACAGAGAGAAACATATTAGCCGACAGTCTCTCGGGCGTAGGCCATTTCTTAATAGGACAAGACAAAGTGGACAGGTTTTTTAGCGTTTTAAAGTGCATCTGTTTTTAAACGATGTCATTCAATCCTGCATGGAAGAAGCCAATTTTTTGTAAATACTGATGGAAAAGCAAAATGTTTAATTTGTCACAAGGTATTGAGGTCAGCCCTTTTAAGCTCTGAAGAGGTAATTATTAATTTGTAATTTGGCATAGTTGATTATTATTAATGGTGTCGTAATGCAAGTTATATTGTTGCTTTGAAAATCGCAAAAAGTGGGAGACCGTTTACTGACGGTGCCCTTGTCAAATAATGCTTAGTGGGGTGTGCAGAAATATTGTGCCCATCTCCTGTAAGCAACTTTGAGACAATTAGTATGTCCGAGCAAACAATTTCTCGTCGGATACTTGAACTTGTTGCAGATTTAAATGAACAACTGCGGGAAAATGTACCCATTTTGAGCAGTATTCTATAGCTCTCGATGAAAGTAAAGACATTTCTGATACAGCATAATTAGCTGTTTTAGATAGAGGTGTCGAAATAGTCTTTACTGTCACCGACGTACTACTAGACGTTATCCCGCTCAAAGATACAATGCCCGGAGAAGATTTTTTTGATGCTGTAGAATACACAATTGATGATATGGGTATACTACTCAAAAGTTTGCGTAGTGTTGTTACTGATGGAACGCCAGCAATGTTACCGGAAGCACAAGGTTTTACTGGGCGAATGAAAATAAAAGTTCGCGACGCTGGGCTACCTCCGATATCATCCGTAAACTGCATATTGCATCAGGAACAACTATGTGCAAAAACCTTCCGTAATTTCAAATCTATTATAGTTGTAGTAATAACATGTGTCAATTTCTGCAGAAAGCAAGGTCTCAACCACGGCAGTTTGAAGTATTTTTAAAACACCTGGAAGCAACTTACGGTGAAATACCGTTTTATTGTGTTACGCGCTGGTTAAGCTGCGCAAAAGTGCTAAATATTTTTTTAAATCATTGACGACGCTGAGATGTTTATGAAAATGAAATTTTTACGACGCCATCTTCAGAGCTTTTCGAAATAGAACCGCCGCAGTTCCAAATGGAGCTGATTAGGCTTCAATGCGCTACGATCGTTAAGGTTAGATACTACCACTACAATAGTAATTTAATTTCGTTTTATCAAGGTGTTAAGCAGCAAGATTTTCCCAAAATTCTTGCACTGGCCTTAGAAACTTGCTCCATGTTCGGTACAACGTACTTCTGCGAGCAGATGTTTTCTTTAATGAATTTAAACAAAACTAAAAACAGGTCTTTGTCTGATGTGTCCTTAGAGGCGATACTCAGAATTTCCACTGCTCAAGCCACTGTACCAAATCTTAGAAAACTTGTTCAGTCGAAAGGCTGTCAAAGATCATCTTAAGAATAAATGTGTTTACGTCGAAATTATGAACATTATTTTATCACCCGCGCGTTGACTCGATCAGACCAATTCAAATCTCAATACGAATGTCACTCCACTCATTTTCCGTTGTGGCTGGGAGCCGGCGAAATTAAACCTTATCGCGGATTTTACTAAACTTAGTAATAATATGTAGTTTCAAATTAAATGAACAAAAAGGGCTTGGTATGTCGATGAAAGTACCTGTCATATCCACTTGAAGATACAACGTGACGGTAGGATTTTACCATAACCTATACGTATATCAGCGGTCATGACGTTTCATATTCATTTTACATACATACATACTTTCAAACATCTAGAACCCTGGTGTCAAACTGACAGACTCAAATGAGCTTTTAAATGCAAGCATAAAGCATACAAACAGGATGTACTATTTTGATCTATTTGCATTGCCTGCTATAGCTTTCAGTCGGTACGTCAGAAACTTCTGGCGGAACTCAGTTTGTCATACCATATCTTTAAATCGGTATGGCAGGTACTTCTGGCAGGTTGCGCCCCGTCTTGCTGAGCTCTTCTTGTTCATTTACTTAAAAACTACAGATTATTACTAAATTTAGCCGAATCCTCAATGCCACCAGCTCCGGGTCAATTCTATTCGCACGGTATTACGGTTAGCACAACACCTTCCTCGCGATGCGTATGCCGCTGCCTAATCCCTCCCCCACCTTCACGGAGTCACCCCGTAGCACTGTGCTGCGAGCGGTGCTCGGCGCTGCACTGGTGGCACCCGAGTTGGAGAGCCAGCACTGAAGGATGAATAACAAAGCAAACTTCAAATTCCCGATCCCCCATTACAGTGAATGTTAAATGTAATAAGAGGTTGAAAGATACCAAGACATAAACCCTAGAAGGCATTGAGTGTTGGTTGCGGATTGTACACAAGCTGCTATTTTAGAATCATAATTTTTTATTGTCTTTTTAATTGAAAAGGTGTATACATACTATATTAATAAAATCATAAATATTTCTCAAAATAGGTAACATATATCCTTAAACAAAAAACAAACTGAATACAAACACACTTTACTGACATTGTTTTAAGACCTCTGTAATTAGTAATAATCTGTAAAAGGTACTCTCTACAAACAAATAACAAAACAGGCATGGGAAAGGTAACCGATAATAATAAATCAATCATCAATATCAGATGCTCCAGTTTCACAGCAGGATGTAGTAGTGTGAACAGAATACTTTCCGTCTTCATTATCGGTTGATGAGGATTCATAATTTTCATTAATTTTGAGAGTTCAGGAGTTGGCAAAGTAATGGCGACAGGATTTTGACTTGGCCTTACTGTTGGCCCTTTCAATATATATGTATAATATAACAGCAAATATTACACCTAACAGAAGCCTTAATGCCAAGTAATCATAGGTTTTCACATGTACAGCCCAAGGACTGAGGGTCGACTGACTAATTCTGACAGGAAAATAATTCACGCTTCAGCACACACCATACGCTCCGACTCATATCACAGGACCACCGCGCTAGGATCTGAGAATATTCCCCGTAATCTTACCAAGCGAATATTTTCAGTGGAACGTAGGCGATATATCTCTCCTACCGCTATGTCAATGGGATTTCTTTCCCCAGTTTAAAAAAAGGAGGGGAATGCTTTCGTTACCGTATTGAATTACGAATATATATTAAGTGACATATAAATCCGAACACCCAGTTTAAATTGTTTTATTTTAACAAAATTTTGTATAAGTACTTAATGAAGCATGAAAAGTAAATGATAACAATTTCAAAATGATTGCACTGCTTTAAAGCCCTTTGGCCTTTAATAATGTGTGGATACACCCTGATGTGCTACGCATTCTTCAACGCGCCTAGGCATGCTTCTGATCAGGTGGTCAATGTCCTCCTGTGGTATCTCATTCCAGGCAACCACTCCTCTCGAAGTGCTTCTAGAGTCTGAGGAGGACGTTGCAAATTGAGCAATCTCCTACCCATCATATCCCACACGTGCTCAATTGGGGATAAGTCGGGAGATCTTGGTGGCCATGGTAACAATGTGACATTATTATGTTGAAAGAAGTCTATTGTGACTCTTGCAACATGTGGTTGGGCATTATCTTGTTGGAAAGTTGGATCTGCCAGGGTGTCAAGATAGGGTAAAAGATGGGGTTCTAGAACTTCGTGGATATAACGCTGCGCATTCATGTTACCTCTGATGAAGATTAAAGGTAACCTGGAACCATAAGCTATAGCACCCCAAACCATAACTCCAACAGTGTGATGAACATGTCTTTCAACAAAAAACTGTGGATTCCTCCTTTCACCACGTCGCCTTCTAGGTATTCCGTGTTCTGCAAACCATTCATTTGCAATGGACCTGGTAGTGGAGTAACGGCGGCGTCCAGTGCCCCTTGCTCTTTGCGTACGGCCTTCTCGAAGCCATGCCTGACAACACCTAACCACAGTGTCTACACTTCTTTGCACTCTAACTGCAATTGCCCGAAAAGAATGTCCAGCTTCCCGAAGTCCCACTATACGGCCCCTATCAAACTCATTAAGTTGACGAAATCGTACAGGTCTCCGTACACTAGGCATCGTAACCGATCGTAAAGGATGTCAAGAACCAAAATTCGCCAACGTTGATTCTTTACTGCGGCTGAAATATTCATTTTTAGAGCGTCAGTGAATTAAAAAAAAGCAGTATAAAAACCGGAATGTCCAACTGATAAGGCTGAAAATTTTTTCACTTGTTATTTACAGTAAGATAAATACATTCACCAACTTTTATTAAAATAAAACCATTTAAACTGGGTGTTCGGATTTATATGTCACTTAGTATATTACGGGTAGCATTCCGAAGAGGAATCGTACGCAACCAAGATTGAAGGTAAAGGATATTTTTAAACGAATATTGGCATGCAAATGGATTTAGAAAAAGGTTAAATTATGATTATATCGTGTGTAATACCGTAACACCAGCCATTGTTTTGGACTTGCTTACTATCCGGAAGAAGCGCTATATTTGCACAACTGATTATCAACAGTTCTATTTTAAAGTTACTCTACCTTTATATTTCCATTATTGTAAATAGCCTGGCCAAACCAGCATCAGTAAATGCGAAATTTTGAATACTACTCACATAAGAAGGTTTGTCAGGCCGAAGTAACTATGTGATATACTTCTTCAACTGGAAGGGGCGGACTAGTTTATCAAGATTATAAGCAAATACAAAGAGGCAGTCCAGTCCACAGCTGCTCATTCGTCTAACGAAGAAGGAAATTACAGCGTCATAAAACATAAAATATATAAAAGGAAACTTGAACAATGGGAACAATCAACGAACACAAACAAAGCTTCGTCTCTCTATGTTACTGTAACAGACGTAGGCGGACCAAGCGCTTGTCCTTATTTTACACATTTAAATTTAACTGGCTGCTATTTGCTCCTCCTCGCAACTTTGACGAACAAACGAATAGAAGTCGGGAAGGGTTGTACCGTTTGTATAACAATTCTAGCAAGTTAGTTTATACGTGGGTAAACACACATTTAACATTAAGGTCATTGTGCCTGACCTTTCTGCGATTCGATTTTTGATCAACCTGTTGTGCTTCCCACACCAATCGGCGAGGAAGTACCCTGAGGAGGAAATATTTTGAAGATCAGACACTACGTTTGTTTCTTTTACACGCCGAAGCAGCCGCGTAGGCAGAATCCTAAAAACCAGGGTACCGTGGCTGCTACGAGAAGCTTAAAGAAACTTTGTTAATCCGATTTTTGAACTACCTAAAATTATTAGAACTCGTTTGAGCCACCTCAGGCAGATTGCTTCTCAATCTCGATACCTTACGGACAAATTAGTGGCCGTATCGGCCTGTTCTGGATGCACAAGCAGTGTTGTCAGAGCGAAGTTTAAAATATCCGTCACACGTACCGCAAAATTCCGCTATATGCCGCTACGGTCTAAAAATTTAAGGGGGGGGGGGAAGGCTTAAAATAAACAACAAATATATTTTTTACATATTTACTTTTTTTTTAAACACGGTCTAAAAACAGTACTAAAAGTACAAACAGTAACATAATATAATTGCAATTTTTCGTAAAAACATAAAAAGTATACCTCTAAAAAAACAAAACTGTCTTAGGTTTAGAATGAGGAACTAATAAAAAAATAGAAACTATCACCAATATCTTAATCTTAATAGAAAAAAAAAAACAAAAATAGGGACAAAGAAGAAGCGGAAACGTGGAAATGCCTACGTTTGCTTATTTTATTCACAGTCAGAATCAGAAATTATTTCTTCTTCAGCTTGTTCTTCCTTATTTACATTATATAAATTCTTTTTATATTTGTTTAAATGATT